ATTACTTTGATTATCTCATTACTAGGATGATTCTTGCGGAATTTTTGACACTCGCGCAATCGAATTAAAATTAAGGCACGCAATCAATAAAAGGGCAACGCGGCTGTGAAAACACACGGCACCCCAGGTTTGTATGGTCAACTAGCGATGATGATGGCGGTTATGATGATGATGTGGCGGGTGATGATGGTCATGATGATGATGATGATGACCTCTTCAGCTCAGGAGCTCCTGGACTCCGTAGTGGGTTTACGAGAGTCTCGGGCTCTTGATTCCTGTGATCAAAGCAGTAATCAGTGGAGACAATGGGGGCCGTGAAATTGCCGCTCTCGTGTGGGTGACCTATCCACCTGCCATGAATCCAAGAGTGGCCCGCAGGCGGCTCATGTTCCCCGCAATCGATAATAGCGCTCACATCTTTCCTCCGACTCAACCCATCTGTGGAAAGATGAAATCATGCGTAAAGACGCGCACGCCTCGGATAATTTTGCAATGCAGCAGCCACAATAACCTGGCGCATTGTGGGGAGCAGGTACAAGGCGTGAGGACCATCGGTTCAGCTGAGCTCCAAGGTATGATCAGGTATCATCTGTCACCAAAACCTCTAAACCTGCTCTGACGAGTGACCTTGAATACTTGGCTTTGATTCTACTTTATATCTGGCTTTAAAAACCTACACTTCTCTCACACGCTGGGTGATTGTCTTTGTGTTCTCGGGGCAAAATCTACAATCCTACATTATGACAAGTGGCTCATTTGTTGCCACACACACAATTTGTCTGAGGGAAGAAGATTTGGAGGCTCCTTCTCTCGTCTCCTAATAGACTCTCACTCGTCTGCACACTAACGGGAGCAAAGGCACACGTCCACGTTTTAAATTCGTGATGTAAATAATTATAGGCCTGGAAATTGATTTCCTTACGACCTTCTCGAGGAAAGGAGGCCTCCGAAATCCCCCCCCAAAGAAAGCTACTTCTGTTGAAGCATTAAGTCATTAATTATTTTCCTTACATAAGGACAAATTATCGAGTCAGTTGAACGAAATTAGAACCCTTTGTTTCTGATCAGACCGCATTACCGCTGGAAATTACGGATGATGGCTGCGTGCGCGCTCGCCTTTGTTGTTTCGATCATCGCCTGTCGCTCTGAACTCGCGCTAACAAAGTCATTAAATTGACTCCCTCTCGCTCTCATTATGCGGGCTGTTAATAACCGCTAATTAACTTTGCTTACGCGCGCCTTAAAAGCCTCCCACCCCTCCCAACACACACTCTCTTCCTCTCGCTGTCTCTCCTTTCCTTCTTCCCCCTGCTTGGCCTAGAGCAAGTGTCCAATTATGTCAGAGCGGGAGGATGGATGGAGGATGAGTCGTCGTCACCGAGGCCACGAGCCGGTGGTGCACGTTAGAGACCAGTATTTACACGTGTTGCATAGGGACGCACTTGTGGGATGACATAAAAGTGATTCTGGCATGTGCGCATGCACGCATGTCTCCTACAGGTGGGTGAGGTGTTTAACTTTAAATAAAATAATTCATCTCCATCATGGTTTGGGCAATATGGATGCAGAACATTATTGTTTTAAGTGTATGTGCCCTTACATTATAATAACTGGGTCTTACCTGGAAGAGAAGTTCCCTATTCCGTCCAGGAGATGGCGCCAGCTGAATGACCCGCAAGGCAAATCTGCTCCGCGATCTGCTGGTCCTAAATGATGGACCTCATTAGTATCACTTCCGTGGCCTTCACTGGAGAGGACGAGACCTGCGCTGAGAGGGAGCAGAGACACCCTGCATCACTTAAGAGGAAGCTCTTAAAATGTATGTACTCATAGCTTTTAGTGCACAAACCCTCCTTCTATGTTTAAATCCAATAACCAAAGGTGCGTGACACCAGGGGAGCCACAAAGGCCCTGCGCACCAACACGCAGTGGCACAGCAGCAGCAGTATCTGAGCTTGAAACGAACAGAAAGCATGCAACCCGGTGTTTCCCCTGGATATTATCAAGTTAGGATGTTATGCAAATACAGGGGAGGCGGTGGCGAGGTGGTGCTGAAACGGAAGGCGGCCTCTCTCCGCCATCTCTTCACCTGCACGTCAAATAGACGGAAAATTGAAAATGTGAAAATTGCGCTCAGACTATTCCGTCCCCCTCTAATGTATGCGCGTAATTAGTGCATTTAAACAAAGCGCGGATGTCCTGCTGGCTGAAATGGCGGCTGACATCTCTTTTTCCACAGGGTTAATAACAGTGTGCGGATAAATGAATCAAATTGTGGCCCCCAAATTACAGAGCGACTCTAAATACCCGTCTGTATTACGCACGTCTGTTTGTGACCGCGCAGGAAAAGGCATAACATTTTTATATTGTTATTACACTCATTACATTGATTTGCGTGCAAATAAACAAGCTGGGAAGTTTGTGACACCAAAAAAAAGTTGCGGATGGGTTGAATGTGACACCATCTGTTTGGTGACAGTGCATCTGCCTGTAAAAGGCCTACTTATACTAAAACGCACAGGAGAATGTTGTGTTTGCCTCACAGCATTACCATAACAGGCTTTAATAGAAATGCATGTTATATTCCTGCATTTTATAGTGTCAGTGTTGGTTAATATTTTGTGAGACTGTTTAAAAAATAGAAGATAAATCAAAGCGCCTGCACCTTAACTAAACAGATCAATGGCGCCCTTATTCCAGGTTCAATCACAAAAGGGTCACGACGCTGAAAAATAGATAAAAGAGAAAAAAAGAATAACTTGTGCAATTTTCTGGACATATATTTTATTGTTATTTTTCGTTTGCTGCTGATGCTGCAGCCCGGGCAGATACATAACGGAGGGGGGAAGAAGAAGGAGAAGAAGGGAGAGAGAGAGAGAATGAGAGAGTAAATTGCAGCTTGCTGAAGTTTTTGGATTGAATTCTGAAAATGATCCTTTTAACAGTGATGGGCTCTGAGGCGAGGATAAGGGTCATGCCATTCACAGCGGGTTAAATAGACTTTCATTTAAAATTACATTCTCGATCCATCTCTCCCTCTCTCCCCCTCTCCTCAGCGGAGTCCCTGCGTGCTATCCCGGCTCCCCGTGCGGCGTCTCATCACCGACGCGCCACCCTCACTTTTTAAGTCAATCCACAATTTCAGCAGAGAGCAGGCGAGTGGAGAGAGGGGCACAGAGAGCAAGAAAAGAGATAGATAGATAGATAGATAGATAGATAGATAGATAGATAGATAGATAGATAGATAGATAGATAGATTTTAACCCTATTAATGTTTGCTTTTCCCCTTTTTAACACATTTTTCACATGCTGCAACCCGAGACACTTTTAGGCAGATCCCACTGTTGATATTTCTATTTCTATGTGACTCCATCTCTGACATGGCTTTCACAGGTGCTCTGTGGTTGAACACAAACTCCGCGCCAGATTTTTTGGTGTCTAATCTTGGCACAGGGATTCAATGGTGTCTGTATGGCCTGGGGAAAAAAATGTAATTTATTGTGCAGCTATTTACAGTGATGGCTGGTGATTAAGACTACCAAAAATCATCATGGAACACAGGCCTACTCAGTTTATTCTGTTATTATAGTATATCCAATATTTTCGTTTATTATCAGCTATTTTTTATCATTATATAAAAACGTTTTACACTAGTCTGCAATAACAGTTAAATTATTATTAATATTATTCTTGATTATTGCATCATCATTATAAAGTAGGATAATATAAATAATATAAAATAAAAGTGTGCCCATGTTCAGGCCCCTTAAGATAGGAAATTATGAAAAGGTGTTCCTACTTTAACTTTAAGGTACTGCAAGCAATATCAACAGTTAACTTAACACTGTATCCATCTATTTTATTTTTATTTTATACAATTAGTTATGTATATATTTAACAGGGACCGTGCACAGCTAGGCCTACTTGACTGCACCAGAGTTAGCAATAAGCTAATTTTCATCTAGTCCCTGGACAGGAAACCAGGAATAATGTCTCTGATAAAAGACACTATTGTAATAGTCTAATGCTTTAATATACTGTTCTGTTTACTGACTTATAAACAGGATATATGTGTAAATAAAATGCCTTGTTGACAGCCAGCAAGCACAATGTCAAGATCTTGACTTTGAAGCAGCTAAACGGAATTTTAGCCATCATTAATTTTATTATTTCCTACTGTGATGCGTTCAAATGCCTTCTTTAAGGAGGAAATAAAAGCCTATTGTGATCCCAAGGGTGCAGATTTTGTTGAATATTAGAGGGGGATCATTTGGGGGCCTTCCAGTAGAAATTTTTAGGCATCCAAACATAATTTCCTGTATTTAAGTGATTTTTTTTCTGCATCAATTTATGGTGTAATTTTTTTATTTTTTTATTTTTTTTCAGAATAAAAAACCTCTGCTACTGTAATGTTTTAATTTTATTTAGGGGAGTGTGTCCCCTGTGTGCCCCCTTGCAGTCTTAACCTCTGTGTGGTCTTATTTTATTTATTTTATATATAAATTGCAGAAATATATTGTAGACCGACAGTCAGTGTGCTGAAATTAATGTTACAAAACACACCTGCGCTTAGTTGCAACTGTTGCCACTTCGCCCAAAAATAGTCTTGCATTATCAGATAATTTAATTGAAGTGAATATGATTTTAGCTGACCCCTCTCACATGATAAAAAAATTAGGGTAAAAAAAATATATTTTTAAGTTTATCTACCGAGTTCGTTCCACGCAGGAAAAGCACTCCATGCCGGGTTTTGTCGCCTTTCCCTCAAATTAACTTTAATGTAAAATATATAAAGCAGCCCCGCGCTGTCTCTCTCCCCACATACACACACACGAGCCAATCAGGCGCTCAATAACAGCCTACACGTCTGCTGAGCGAGCGCGCGGAGCGGAGAAGCGCCTGGCAGAGCGGAGCTGAGCGCGAGGAGCCAAACCGCTGCCTGTCATTAGCTGAGAGTGTGACAGAGGAGTGACAGAGCACAGAGAGGGAGGGAGGAGGAGGAGGAGGAGTGAACGGTCCCGGTTCAAACACACACACCGGCCTGAGAAGAGAAGGAGGAGAAGGAGAGGAAGAAGAAGGAGAAGAAGAAGAAGAAGAAGAAGAAGAAGGAGAAGAAGAAGAGGAGAGCGCACCGGACCCCGAGAGTGTGTGAAGGAGAGTGGGAGAGAGTGGGAGACTGACAGGCGTTACCGAGACGAGACGAGCCGAAGCGTCGACATGAGCGGTCAGTTTGAGGAAGACCTCCACGACAGGGGCGAGAGGAAGAGCAGTAAATCCCCGACGCTGCTCTCCTCTTACTGCATAGACAGCATTCTGGGCCGCCGGAGCCCCTGTAAGGTCCGGCTGATAGGGGGGCAAAGTTTGACGGGTCTGCCCGGCAGAGGGGAGCTCGACAAGACGGCTGACAGTAAGTTTTATTTGAGATTAAATTAAGAACATAGTATTTTCTAAGTTATTTTGGAGCATTGTGAGGGATAAACATGTGCAGCCTTGTGCGCAAAGTTAATGCGTCAGGGAGAGTTGGTTTTTATGGAGCAAGCAGGTCGACATGTTTAACAGTGGATAATGTTTTTAAAATAAAAGGTTTCCTTATTAGACAGCTGTTACAAAGTATGACAGGGTTGTTACAAGCCTATAAAAACTTTATTCATATGAACATTTTGCCATTTTGTCATGCCTCCCTCTCCAGGGCCAACCAAAGACCCCCTTTCTCTCGCCGCTGACATGCACCTGCCTCCCAAGCTCCGCCGCCTGTACGGCCCCGGGGGGAAGTACCTCCACGACCACGCAGAGACACTCGACAGGGAGCGGCTCCTCCTGGAGCAAGCCAGCGACAGCCTCAAGATCAGCCAGGCGCCGCAGGTGAGCATCAGCCGCAGCAAGTCCTACCGGGAGAACGCGTCGCTGAGCCGGGGAGAGGGCGACCAGAGTCCCGGGGAGGGCTCGGAGGACGGCAGTCTGGGGCTGGTGGAGCTCGGCCCGCTCAAGTTCGAGGAGGACGCGGGGAAAGAGGAGGAGGGCTGCGGGGACGCGGCCGCGCTGTCCCCGAAGGACGAGGAGAGGGAGAGCTTGAACGCCGGGGATGGGGACGTGAGGGACGGGGAGGACAGCGTGTGTCTGTCGGCGGGCAGTGACTCGGAGGAAGGGATGCTGAAAAGGAAGCAGAGAAGATACAGGACTACCTTCACCAGTTACCAGCTGGAGGAGCTGGAGAGAGCTTTCCAGAAGACACACTACCCCGACGTCTTCACCAGGTAAGACACAGTAAAACTATTTATTTAATGCTCATAAAAATTAAAAAAAAAAATGCTGTGAAATTCTAAAATTTTGTCTTCAGTAAAATAATTATTGTAGAAATTTTGCACTACAGGCCTGTGCCTTTTTTTAAATTTAAAACCATAAAAACTAGGCCTAAGAATTTTAATTTACATGCATATAAAACCCCTATAATTACACTAATATACTAATAATTGTCTTATAATAATTATATTATTAATAATTTTATTTTTATCGTTATATACTCTGTGGCTACGTTTCAAATAAAATCCAAGCAACACAGAGACACAAAACATGCACCGTGTTCTCTAATAACTCCTTAATTTAATGTGATAATTAAATGCATTTAATTTTAAATAAACATATAAAAATTCCAAAAGCATCCCCAGTAATTCCACACGTGTTTAACCGGACACTGTGCGGATCACACCTCATAAAATGCCTCAACACCAAACCCGTGCCCAGCATCAGCGCACACAATGGGCCCTGCAAGTGCAAACACTGGGGACGTTTTGTCACCTGTATCCGCTCCTGTTCATGTTATTCTCAGAGGGAACAATTAACAGGTGCAGCTCAGGTTACCTGCTGGACATGATACTCAAAAAAAAAGGGCCTCACCTCAAGCCAAAGGGCAGATGCACACACAAACACACATTATATGAGGGTTTTATAAATGCTTAAAAATACTTTATTAGATTTTTTTTTATGTAAAGGAAAATAAGCCATTTAAATAAAAATTCTGCACAGTAACATTTTGATATTTGACACATTTTATGCTTTAAATTAGAGGCTTTCTGACACAATAACTTGCATTTTCGATTTTTTTTTAACCATTGGGATTATTCATATTTTCCAATCGATTTACTTTAAGGCGACTCGTGGCTCTAATTCACACTGCCAGCCCATCTTGCAGCTGAAGGCAGCGTCGATTGCTTTGTGGCAGGCTAGTTTAGATGTCATTATTTCAACCATTATGTTGTTACAGTGACAGGCCTGTGCTGAGGAAAATCTAACAATCACTAGGGCCTATTTCCACCCATCCGTGACAGGGAAAATAGAATATGGCTATGGCGTCTTTTCTGCAGTCCATGCGCCAAAGGAGGAGAACAAAAAAATCAAGCCTATTTTCGGTCGCCTATTGTTGACAGTGAACAACAGGAGGGGACAAAACAGCAATTCTGCGTTGCTTTCCAAAACGGCTGGCCTGTAACCTTGAATCTTTTTTCCTTTCTTGTCTCTCTTCCTCTTTTTTTTTTCTTTTTCTTTTTCTAAATATTCTTTTCAGAGAAGAGCTCGCAATGCGCCTGGATCTCACCGAGGCCCGTGTGCAAGTAAGTGGCTCTCTTGTTTATCTTTATCTGCAAAAGAAAAAGCCTGTGACTTGTAAATCAAATAGAGGAAAAAAGAGAGAGAGAGGAGGTAAAAAAAAAAATGTTTTATGTCCTCTATAAAATGTCCCCCGGTACACAGTGCTGGATAATAACCGGTGATATGCGTCACTGATTGAGGATCAGCGATTACGGGCCAATTTGAGGCGGTAATTTATTACAGTAAAAATGTGTTAAATGGCCCCAGTCGCTGCGCGGGGAAGGTCTTTCCTGTTATTGAATGTTATTACACGCGAAGGGACGTTTTAGTGGCAATTAAGCCGACGCTGGCGATTCATAAAAAGCTCACTTAGTGCAGGAGCAAACACTGTCTGTATTCCCGGGATGAGATGGTGTTTGGATTCCCTTCAGAGGGGACAGAGAGGGGGCGAGATGTGTGTGTGTGTGTGTGAGAGAGAGAGAGAGAGAGAGAGAGAGAGAGAGAGAGAGAGAGGGGGGAGATGTGTGCAGGAATAAGAGAGAGAGGGAGAGGAGGGGGGGGGGGGAAAGGGGGGAGGGATAATGCTATTTGATTTCCCATTATGTGATTGCAATAGACCTGCATTGATCCGATGCTTTGCACTTGGGAGCGAATGAGAGACCATTAAAGGTGTTTGCTCCCCGCTCCCCTCCCCTCCTCCTCCTCCTCTCTCATCCCACTCTCTCCATCCCTCCCTCCTCTTCCTCGCCTCGCACTGAAAGCGTGGCTTGCATGTCGAAAGCCCGGGCTCATAACCAGAGAGACAGTTCAAACACGGTGGACGCTCCGGGAGGTTATGGCCGTCGGTAAAACAACAGATGTCTCTTTAGGGGCCTGTAGGTGAACAAATCACTTAACGGGCGCCATCAGGAGGTGATAAAAACTCATAAATTCCCGAGGGGCTGTGTAATGCTAAACAGCCCTCTGGGAATAATGTGTGTGTATTTGTGTGTGTGTGTGTGTGTGTGTGTGTGCAGGGCCTGTCGCTCAAGCCAGCTCGTTCAATCACTTTGCTCATGTTGACATTTTGCTCATTGTGAGAGCCCCGTGCTTCTGCAGAGCAAACTGGGCAACAGTGGATGCGTGGGAAAGTTAAATACTCTCTTGGATGGAAGTCACTTGTTCTGCGTCTCTTAAGAATTTAATTTAAAGCGCATTAATTGTTATTGGAGCCAGTTCAGCGGTAATTTTCTGGATCTTTTGTTAACACCGCTCTTAATTATCTCCCCCCTCCACCAGCACCAGCACTCTGCAGCCCAGTCTGCAGGGACAGGGGGGTTTAATTAGACAGAAAGTAGATTTAAGGGACCGTGAGCGGCAGGGTTTACCTTGCATGTAATTACCCTTGACTTTCCGCCTATTGGCCACCACCTGAACTAGACAACTATTAGACTACACTGACACAACATTCAATAGAGTTTAGTCATGTTAATTACAACGAAGCATTGCTGTGAGAAGCAGGGCAGGGAGTTATAGTTTTCATTATTTATAGCATGGGAGAGCTGCATAAGCAAACAGCTATATTGGCATTTGTGACTTGTTTCCAACTGAGCACCCACTCCTTCATTTAGAGAGGAGGAAGGGCAAAAACACACCTGAACTTGTAGAATCTGCTATCCTCCCTCTAACTGCTCATATTAATGTGTCGTCACCTCTGTGTGCCCCTCAGGTGTGGTTTCAGAACCGCAGAGCCAAGTGGAGGAAGCGTGAGAAGGCCGGGGTGCAGGCCCACCCGTCAGGCCTGCCGTTCCCAGGCCCCCTGGCAGCGGGCCACCCTCTCAGCCACTACCTGGAGGGAGGGCCCTTCCCTCCCCACCACCACCCTGCCCTGGAGTCAGCGTGGACGGCTGCTGCAGCTGCAGCCGCCGCGTTCCCCGGCCTAGCCCCACCGCCGCACAACGGCTCCGCTCCGCCCCTGGCGACCCCGCTTGGCCTGGGCACCTTTCTGGGCACAGCTGCCATGTTTCGCCACCCTGCCTTCATTGGACCCACTTTTGGCAGGTAGGCTGAACCCATGCACAGAGCTCCCTTGGACCTGCTATTTCTTCTTTACACTCATGTACACCTGAAACTGTGTGCCATGTTCATTCACATGTATGGAGAAATGAACAGCAGACACCAGGCTCATAATAACCTCAACACATCATGTGACTCTAATGACTGATGGTCGCTGTGGTCGTCAGTCACACCTCACTACTGTTTATCTCACGGTGACTGATTATAAATATGTTATACTGTTAACCATTCACAGTGGTGTGTAATCACTCTGTCAAACGTCTTAATGAATTAACCAAACGTGTGATCCTGCCAGACAAGCTGTGAGGAGGTGTGACACGCCGCACACTCCATATGCCACAATTAGCCTCTCATTTGCTCCCGTCCTCTCTGCTATAGAGAATTATTAACATTGTTCTCTCCACGTTATCCTTTACGTTAAAGAAGTCAGCTTGAATAGATGATGTAAATCTATTTAGAAATGGAGAGGAAGTAAAACACATCAGAGGGACAGTGAAAATCAGAATGCTATTTAAACTTTAAACACATTCAGCATCCATAAATGTAAATCTGTCTTCCTACAGGCTCTTCTCCAGTATGGGTCCCCTGTCCAGTGCTTCCACCGCTGCAGCCCTCCTCCGTCAGCCCGCCCCCCCTGTAGAGAACCCCTCCCACGCGGGCCCCGTCCTCCCCGACCCTTCCTCCTCCTCGTCCTCCCCCTCTTCCGCGGCCGCAGCAGACCGCAGGGCCTCCAGTATCGCCGCGTTGCGCCTCAAGGCCAAGGAACACTCGGCTCAGCTCACCCAGCTTAACATCCTGCCCGCCGGAGCCGCAGGGAAGGAGGTGTGCTGAACACTCAACACCAGCTCTAGGCCTCCCTGTCCTGGGCTTACGTCCCATTCCATCACACACCCCCCACCCACGTCCCCCCCTCTCCAAAAACCCATTCATACCTCTGGAGGCTGATGTCCTGACATCCCCTTGTTCAACCACCCCTGTTACCTCATGTTTCCCCAACAAAATAGCACAACCAAATTCAAAAGAGCACAGGCTAAAAGACAGTGAGTGTGTGTGTGTGTGTGTCTGGTGATGACAGCTATCGTAATTTTGTTTTACACTCCATACACACACCTCTCTGAATGACACCTCAGTAACTTGAAGAACAATTACAATATTTTATGACACAGCTAAAAAGATTTTCCTAATATTACTTCACACTACATATAATCCACATCTTTTTTTGATGGTGTGCCACATGAATACACACCACATACAAAATATAAGTACACACAGCTGCAATGAAGGAATTTAAAAAAGTATACTTTCCTAAAGCACAAATTTGGAATACTTGTACTTTAGTATTTCCATGTGATGCTACATTATACTTTACATTTAATTTATTCTACACCTCATTCATTTAGCAATAATTAGCTACTTTAAAAAATAGGATTTTACACACTAAACACATGAATTTATAAAATATTAAGCACTGTAACTGCTGCCCAAAAATACACCTACAACTACTTACACATTAAAGCATCAGCTATAATAATTCAGTAATGTAAAATACAGCTGTATCGCTCACAGGGGCCATTTTTCTGCACTCTTAAAGTACATTTTGCTCAATTTTTTTTTGTACTTTTACTCAAGTAACAGGACTTAACTTGTGAGAGGGTGTATGTTTTGCCCAAGGAAATGATCTGTCATCGCACACACATACACAAACACACACACATACACACAAACACAGAAAGAGCTGAAGAACCGCAGGGGAACCCAGACTTGTAGAAAGGATTCCTGTGCTACTTCAAATGTGGACAACTCGAGTGCTCGACATTAACACTGCTTAATCTGTATGCATTGATGTGGGCTGAGCCAGTCTGCGTCTATAATAAAGGCGAGTTGGAGGAGGTCCCCCCCGCACCCCACCCACACCCCCCCAGAACCAAAGGAAAACTGTCCATAGACCTTCCATAGCCTTCTCTACAAGCCTGACTCCTCTCCGCTGCTCGCCTGTCCACCAGTCACACTCAGCAGCACCACTGTGCATAAATACCTTTTAAATCTCTGACTCAAACCAGAGTTATTCAAGGTCGTTTCCAAGCGTCAGATTTCTGTAAATTTGCTGCAATTTGAGATTTTTTTTTTCTCTCCCCCCTCCACCTCAACCCCTCTCTTTGATTATCACAGCAGTGGCACTTTCCACTGAGTCTGACTCCAGGACACGCGAGCAAAAGTTGAGACCTGACAAACTGTACATATTGTGTAAAAAAAAGGGGGGGAGAAAAAAAAGTACCACAAAAAAGGATGATTTTCAAAACAAGGTCGTGTATATTTCAGGAGACCGTGTTTTGATAATTTGCACTCCGTGTAGTGTTTAATGAATGTCGCCCTGTGTAGAATTTCACCTGTGTTTATGAATTATTAGGATTTTTAGATCATTATTTATGTCAAAACTTTTCCCCCCCGAGGAACCGAGTGAAGGAGATTTTGTTTTCTTATTAAGTGATTGTAAGTTTCCTGGTTTAATAATTGCTAATTTGAATAAATTACACTGGTAAAATGAGTTATCTTTTATTATTTCAAATTCCTTTAGAGCTGACATAGGCCTAAACCAGGAAAAAAATAAACAATGTGAAATAGAATATTATAGAACTATTAATAAAAGGTGTTATGAAGAAAATGTGTTTGCTGTCTTACATTGAAGAATAATTCTGCAGAATGTAAATTCTTACATAAATAAGTGTTTTTATACTATAAATAATTGTAATATTAACTGAATAGTGCACTGGAATGTAAAATAAATGCATCAGACTGCAGTAGCAAGTTGTCTGGTGGTAAAAAAGCCTGCTGGGAAGGATGAAAACATTTCCCAAAGAGGAATTTATCGCTGCAGAGAGCAGAGATGGAGGCGTACTGCTCCACCTGAATAAGAGAAAATGCGTTAGGTGTATAATCCAGCGCGCTGCGTGCGTCTATCCTCTTCAGCCGAGTTGACAAAATACTGACCATATATTCATGAGCTTAATCCCCAACATGTGAAACGCGCGACAAAGGCGAGGGGTTTTCAATTAGATCGCCCACTTTATGTGGGGGGGCCCGTCACAAAACTTCCTTTAAACCCCTTTAAAGGCGCTAAATTGGTCTTAACATCTGTAATGCCGTGTCGATGGAAGCGGGTCCCTTTTGTCATTAATGAAGTAACAAACCACTTCATCAAACGGCTTTCACACACACACACCTCGTAGAGTTAATTCCCCCAAATCCACCCCCTCCACCGTGCATTGGATCCCACAACTATTGCAGCACCATTACAGCAATCAATGGTTATTCTCCTCTGTTTGACCCATCCATGGTGCCCGAGCACACCGCGTGAAATTGCGGATTAATGTAGTCCCTCTTTTTATTGTGTGCATCTGTGAAAACCCTCTTCTTATTCCTTCCTTCAGGTCTTGCAGGTCCTACACCTGTTAATCACCCAATTTAGTCCAAACAAGCAGGAATTAGACGCGATAAGGGACCGATGGAGGAATATTCCTGCGCATTTACGCGCACAAAGTCACGCAGCTGCTCCTTGGTGCATAATGCAAAAAAAAAAAGCAGAGGAAAAAAGAGAAAAGATAAAAACCAATTTTCTCCTGTGCGCCCAAACCATCTACGATGTGTGAGCTCCATGTTTTTTAAAATTCCCATTCTTTTGCTCAAGCCCAGTGGAGCGTGTGTGTTTTTTCCCCCTCTGTATGGCCCTATAGGGTTTTGATGAGATTGTCCGGGGGAGTTTTAATCTTATTGTGAATATAACTAATGAATGGCAAACCAATTTGTCCCTAATATCTGGGGAATGCCGGGAGGCGGATGACCTGCTGGGAGCGAGGCTTAAACTTTCTTTGCAGCGCAAAAAGGCGAGAAAATTGAAATGCTGTCGCAGGGCAATGGCTCTGGATTTATAAAGTCACACTTGTTGGATGTGTGCTCTTTCATTCAAAGACAGGCCTGCACTTCGGATTAGACCACGAGGCTTCTTATTGCATGAATGATCATGATAATGAATGTTGATATATTAAAAAAAGAGGTGAATACAGTCCAATCATGCGGTGTTTTCTTGCAAATTGCCTGCACAGACGAAGAAGGAAATCTACATGATTTGGTGGATTGTGTCAACGCGCTGGGCCTTAATGCTGCCCCCGCCTCTCCCAGGTTAATCCAGGTGTCCAGAAAAGTGTAAGTCGTGCCTATTTTCATCACCGCCCGCTCCTTTCTCCTTCCCCCAGCTGTTGGACTTGATTTGGCCCGTGATTTGGATTCTCCCGGGCCTCGTTTCTCCCACCACGACCCTGCCTGAGAGAATAGGCCCAATCACTCCACAGCCTCAGCCGGATCAGTCCTCACTCAGTCCCCGGGAGAGGAGCTCTAAAAGGCGCTTTGATGAACAGCCCCCCCCCCCCCCCATCCCCTCCTCTCTATCATCCCCTCCTCCTCCTCCTCCTCCTCCCCAGGCGGAGAACCGGCCGCGATGAAAGACCTGAATAGCAGGGCCATGGCACTCCGCTCCCCTCTCGGATCGCCCCTTAATTCCCCGTCTCTCTTGCTCTCATCCAATTAGCTCAGTGTATTAAGCGGTTTATCGTCTCATAACCGCCCTTTCAGCTCCAACAAGGGAGACACTTTGCAATAGGACCAGCTCTCCTTTTGACACCCTCTCTGCTGCTTGTATGTTCCACCGCGCTATGAATAACAGGGACAGAATAGGGGACTAATTCCCTCATCAAAGCCTACCTTGTACATCGCTGGTCAAAACGACAAGCAATAAAGCTTAACGCCACAATACAAAGAGACTTGTTCGACCTTATTAGCTTAGCTGGGTCGAATTAATGCAGGGGGACTCAATTTGGTTGACTACAAAACGGGGGCCCTCAGCCTGGCAGTGGGAATGGCAGGTCCTGTGCACATCTACTGGGAGCTGATTAAACCCAGCAACTGTGGGAGAAGTGCCGGAGCTGATATGATTTAATAAATATGTAAAGTTATGAGCAATAGGCTGCAAATGCACCGAGACACTTTTCTCTCACACACAGCATGTTCTATCCATTGCATAGTGAATCATGGTTTAAGTGTTCAGCCCACTTAAGGTTGCCTTCACAAGTCACAGTGGTTTGAAGTGATTTGTGAGGCGTGCAGTGTTTATGGAAATGCACGCGGCAGGATGGAGTAAAAAATCCCTCCACTGTATTAACACAAAGGAGAATTCTTGGATGGAAATGGTGAAACACTTAATGTAGCGAGTTACAGGCTGAGCGTTAACTACAGCAGAGGAAACACAGTATTTAGGGAGAGGAAAGCGATATGACAGTATGCATGCATCAGCCTGAGAATATCAACTCCTGTTAATAATGTTGGCATAATATACAGACACACAGGTATTCAGGTCACTGAATTAGCCAACAGCAAACACTGCTGAGTTATTTTATTCATAAACACCTCTCAATTGATTTCCCACAGAATGAACTATATCATAACACCGCGTTAGAAAATTACAAACACCATAATAGATGTTTTTATCTCAATCGTTCACTCCTATTTAGAAATCAACACTTGTTTGTTCTCCTGAAATCAAGTCAAACTCACAAAGTCCCCATCTGTATATTTAAAGAGTACAGCTTCATCTTTCAATACTTACAGTACATACGACTTCTCTGCCTGTGTGTGTGGCGCTCGTCCACAAACCACTCGCTCCTTCTGAAAAATGAAAATACATAGTTATGTGTTAAAAAAAGGGCAATTAATTTCATATACTGGCTGGGCACTGTAGTTTTTAACAAACGCTACTCACAGAGGAGGAAACCGTGCATTTGGTGGGGACTATTTACAGCTGCGGAGTAATACACACTTCTAATTCTAGTGAGAATCTAGGCTCATAGATATGAAGACGCACGCCAGCCAGTGCAACTGTGTGGCTCATTGGTGTGTCTTTAATAGTTTTGGGACAATAATGGAGGCCTATGGAACAGAGGAATATCATATACTGTATTGTACATTAAACTTTGGCTACACAGCTTTAAGTCAGAAATCAAATACGTCATTATCAATATTGCGACACTATTGTAGGGTTGACTATTTGTGCTTTCACAGAATATTTACACAGCGAGATTGTTGATAAATAATCATCAGTAATGTGGATATAATGACTTAATGTGTCAAGACAAATAATAAAACAGCTTGTAAGTTCAGAAAATGACATCACTTTACTGTAATGCAGCCTTTAAAACTAAAAAAAGACGACACTTCAGGTACTTTGATATCCAAAATCTAAGCAGCTATCTCGTCTCACATCATAATTTTAGTTTAGTTTAGTTTATTAGTTTAGTTGACAGGGACCATGTACAGAACAGGTTCTATACCAGAGTTAGCTAAATAGCTAATTTGCATCTGTGGTCCCTGGGCAGGAAGTTAAAAAGACAATAAAACACATTCTAAACACTACAGACAATATCAAAAACAAATATAATATCAATAAACTTACCAGCCTTAGCACAGGTATCACTTCATTGATGGTTTTGCTCTTTTCGTAGGACTTGTTTGGACTGATAAAAATACAGAATATCGCCTGACTTTCACTTTAAATATGGCGTCAAATACAGTGAAGGAATGCTCGATTTACGCAGCCAGATGCCCTTACAGTATAAAAAGTAAAGATTATTTACATTTTTTCTAGTATTTTTTATATTAACTTCACTTTTGTAGTGTTACAGAGCGCACTGGTTAACAGAAGAAACATTAAGACACTACAAGATATCCATCCACTCATCTCCATCACCCCCCCCACACTGCAATAACACAAGATTAACATCTTATCCATTTAGGTTTTTATTGAAGATTCAGTATCAAAATTGTTCTCATCAATATCAAAATACCCAACACGACATATTCTGGTCATTACAAAAATCGTTACATACACCCACCTGAGCGACACAAGTGGGACACACACAGAAAATCACAGGCATTAAAACACAATCTGCACAGAGGGAAGAGGGGAAGGAGTGAAAGGGATGAAATGGCTTCAGTTAAACAGAGGCAGTGGAGGAGAAGGAGATCAGATGTTCGATACGTAGACAAAAGAGCGAGGGAGCAGCGCGTGTGGCCTCCCTCACCCCGTCACTCCCTGCATCCTCCTTACTCCTTTCTTTTATCCTCTGATCTGACACACACACACACACATACAGAGAGACACACACACACACTAGGGATGAATGGTGGTAATCAGAACAAGTGTCCGATCGCTGCAGGCATCCAGTGGTCTTAGTGGCCTGGGTCACTATCATTGGCTAATTAGCCGCTTTTTGAGGATACAGGCTGATCTGAGGATATGTCATTTTCACACACACTCACATACACATCTGGGCACAGCTAGCGCACCCCCCAGCACACACACAATAGACTGTCATTTAGGTATGATTGCTAGTCCCCTTTAGGATACAGAGTCAGGGTGATGGGGTCAAGTCATGAGCGTCTAAGTGAAGGAACTGACAAAAAGGTGAGATTAGGTTTGAAGTTAAATAACAAGCCCATTAGAGCCGGGGAACATTGTACAGGGATGAGGAGGTCAAAGCCTAAAATCGCCATCCTTGCTTTACATTTGGAAACCAAAAACCAATGTAGTTGAATGTGCAAATGTCCAGCTTTGAG